ACTAGTGTGAAATATTCGTGGTCTAAACTCCCCGGCTCGACAGAGTGCGATTTATCAGGTTGTGATGGCGGCAAATGTGAGCATAGTGTGCTTCCAAGAGACAAAACTAGAGGTTGTATTAAGTGAGATCGTTAGGCATTGCCTTGGGAATAAATTCGAAAACTTCTTTTACGTGCGGGCGGTGGGTACCCGCGAAGGTGTGTTGTTAGCATGGGACCCCACAGTTGTGTCTCTCTCTCTCTAACCCACACATTATGGAAAATATAGTCACGACGCTCGTTCGACAGGAAGAGGGTCCACTGTGGTGGATTACTGGGGTCTATGGACCTCAAGGCGACTCAGAGAAGGTGGATTTTATGAATGAGATTGTGGACGTTCGGGACCTTCATATGGGAGCTTGGGCATTGGTGGGAGATTTTAATCTCCTTGTCAATCCTGAAGATAAGAGCAATGCCAACATAAATAGACGGATGATCGCTCATTTTAGGCCCTTTTAAACAGGCTAGAGCCGAAAGAGGTGTACCTCAATGGGAGGCGATACACGTGGACCAATGAGCGGAGGACCCCAACTTTGGAAAAGATCGACCATGTTTTTGTGAATAACATGTGGGAGGACATATACTCTTCAAGTCTGTTGACGGCACTAGGATCAGCAGTGTCGGACCACTGTCCACCGCTCCTGGATTTGGACGCAGAGTTTCATGTGGGCCGGCGGTTTACGTTTGAGAGTTTTTGGCCAAAGGCGGAGGGCTTCTTTCAGATAGTCTCTGATGCTTGGCAATTGGTGCCATCAGAGGGCAACCCTTTTCTTGTGCTGAACAATAAATTGCATGCTACATCAAAGGCTCTTCAATTCTGGAGTGACCGCTTCATTGGCAACATCCGCCTACAGTTATCCATTGCTATGGAAGTGATTGCAAGACTTGACGTAGCGGGATAATCTCGTTTACTCGCCGACCAAGAACATGGCCTGCGCAAACTACTCAAAAAGAGATTGTTGGGCCTCAGCTCGTTGGATAGGTCCACCGTCAGACAACGATCTCGCCTACTACGCCTGAAAGATGGCGACGCAAGCTCTGACTTCTTCCACCGGCATGCTCGCCACCGGCAGAGGAAGAATGTAACAACCACGAGGCAGCGCAACGGTAGGATTTTCACAGGGCAGGATGAGATATCTGAGGTTGTTGATGAGTATTATGTTCCGTTGTTGGGATCAGCACCTGTGAGGGAGCATTTGTTGAACTTGGACCTGCTCAACTTGCCGTGGCAGAACTTGTCACACTTGGAGGTGTTCTCGGAGGAAGAGGTTGAGCGAACGATCAAGGCGGTGCCTCTGGACAAGGCACCGGGGCCAGACGGATTTACTGGCCGTTTCTACGCAACTTGCTGCCACATTATCAAGCGCGACTTTATGAGAGCATTGGCACAGTTTTACAATGGCGATATGAGAGGGCTGGCGACCATCAACAAAGCAATTGTTTCATTGTTACCAAAGAAAGATGGAGCTATGGACATCAAGGATTACAGACTGGTCAGCCTAATGCATGGGGCTGTCAAAATCTTTAACAAGGTCCTTGCAACTAGGCTTGCCGCTGATCTTCTGACACTGGTGGGGCATCACCAGAGCGCTTTTCGTCCATGGGTGTTCACTACATGAAAACTTTATGCATGTCCAATACACGGCAAGACGGCTTCATGAGCTGAAACACCCTACGGTGATGTTAAAGCTCGACATTTCGAAAGCTTTTGATTCTGTCCAATGGCCATTCATGGTTAAGCGGATGGGTTTTGGAGAGAGTGGATATCCTAGATTGGCCTTCTAGTTACTTCATCTACGAGAATCATGACGAATGGAATACCTGGAAGGTCGATCTCGAACTACCAAGGACTACGTCAAGGAGATCCGATGTCACCCATGATTTTCATCATATGCATGGAGCCCCTACATCGCCTATTCCAATATGTTGCTCATCAGGGTCTTCTAGCTCCATTAGCCAGGACAGGAGTTCACCTGCGCGTGTCCATGTTTGCAGATGATGTGATGGTCTTCTTCAGACCTACTGAATTGGAGGCGAGGACATGCAATGCCATCTCGACGATGTTTGGCCAAGCTTCGGGTCTTGTTGTGAACATGGCGAAGAGCACGGCCATACCAATTCGCTGCACTCTGGAACTGATGGATATGGTCTGCACACTACTGGGTTGCATGAGCTCTGACTTTCCATGCACTTACTTGGGGCTACGTCTAACACTCCGAAAACAGACGGTTGCCCAACTACATGGTCTAGTGGAA